CTATACCTGTTGTTGCTCAAGAAGTAAATCCGGAACCTCAAGATGATAATGTTGAACAACTCCCTGTTCCAGAAGAACAAACTCAACAACCTCAAGAACCAGTGCCATTAAGGAGATCCACGAGAGAAAGGAGAAATGCTATTCCGGATGATTATATTGTATTTCTCCAAGAACATGAGGAAAGTAGTGGAATGTTAGAAGATGATCCAATCAACTTCTCTCAGGCCATGAAAAGTTCTAACTCTCAACAGTGGATTGATGCCATGAATGAAGAGTACAAGTCTATGCAAGACAATAAGGTTTGGGAACTTGTCCCATTACCAGAAGGTGCAAAACCAATTGGTTGTAAATGGATTTTTAAAACCAAGCGGGATGCAAACGGTAATGTGGAGAGGTATAAGGCACGTCTTGTGGCTAAAGGCTATACTCAAAAGGAAGGCATTGATTATACAAAGACTTTCTCTCCGGTTTCATCGAAAGATTCTTTCAGAACAATCATGACACTTGTTGCTCATTATGATCTTGAGTTACATCAGATGGATGTTAAGACTGCATTTCTCAATGGATACATTGATGAGATAATTTATATGGTGCAACCAGAAAACTTTGTGTGAGGAGACCCAAAGAATATGGTCTGCAAATTAAGGAAATCCATCTATGGACTCAAGCAAGCTCCTCGTCAATGGTATCATAAGTTTTAACAAATAATTATCTCGTTCGGTTTTGAGATGAACATTGTTGATGACTGTGTATATCACAAGTTCAGTGGGAGTAAGTATATCTTTCTGGTTCTGTATGTCGATCACATATTGCTTGCCACTAATGATATAGAAATGCTTCACAAAACCAAGAGATTTCTATCAAAGAATTTTGAGATGAAAGATCTTGGGGACGCCTCTTTTATATTAGGAATCCAGATACATCGAGATCGCTCTCGGGGTATTCTTGGATTATAACAAAAGAGCTATATCGATAAGGTACTTAAAGATTTGACATGCAAGACTGCAGACCAGGAGACACCCCTGTGGCTAAAGGAGACAAATTTAGTCTTAATCAGTGCCCTAAAGGTAACCTTAAAATTCAGAAAATACAGAAGATTCCTTATGTTTCGGCTGTAGGAAGTCTAATGTATGCTCAGGTATGTATGCGTCCGGATATTACGTATATTGTTGGGATGTTAGGCAGATACTTAAGCAACCCTGGTATGGATCATTGGATATCAGTCAAAAGGGTTATGAGGTATCTTTAGAAAACAAAAGATTATATGCTCACATACAGAAAATCAGAACAGCTGGAGGTCATTGGGTACTCTGATTCTGATTTTCCTGGATGCCAAGATAGCAGAAAGTCTACATCAGACTATATTTATATGTTAGCAGGAGGAGCTATATCATGGAAAAGTGTTAAACAAATACTTGTAGCTTCCTCCACTATGGCAACATAATTTGTAACTTGCTATGAGGCATCCAATCAGGGAATATGGCTGCGAAACTTTGTCACGGGACTGCGCATTTTGGAAAATATGGAAAGACCACTAAGGTTATATTGTGATAATAAATCTGCAATAATGTATTCCAATAACAATATGAGCTCAACTAAGTCAAAACATATTGACATTAAGTTCCTGGTTGTGAAAGAAAGGGTACAGAGTGGACAGATATCCATAGAGCACATTGGGACAAACTCCATGATAGCTGATCCTCTTACTAAGGGATTACCACCCAAGGTCTTTCATGAGCATACTGCTCATATGGGTGTGGTATTATTTGAGGATATTATGTTTTAGTGGGAGTTTGTATTTGTGGTGCTTTATGTTTGGTTGTATTGTCTGATCAGAATAAAGTATTCAGTTAAGACACTCTGTTACATTATGTTTGGTTTTGACCTCACTAAGGAGGACCAGTTGAAAATAGACATGTACTGATCACATTGCATGTAATTTTTATGCTGTATATCCATGATTGATCTATGTCATTTGATTGTATTGGTATATGTGACCATTGATGGGTCGAGTCACGATAAATGTGACGAAGACCGCTTTGATCCTATATTGATATAGTTAATGGACGAGATTGTTCGAAAATACCTTTTCAGTGATAGCAATTTTGAGCTCATAAGGTTATACATAATTTAAGGAATCATATGGTACCCAAGTGGGAGATTGTTGGATTTAAATCTAATTAAATCTATTTGTAGGCACATATGATTAATCTGTGTGTATTGTTATCCTTCAGGATAACCCACTAAAGTGATCAATCAATTTGGGTTAATAGGTATTTAAATATAATCATGGGGTTATATGTGCAAATACCAGGTTGTAATTGTAATTTGATGAGGGGTCAAATTGCAAATGTACAACATCTATAAATAAGGGGTTATGGTCCCTAATCTAGGGTTACATTCTCTAATTCTCTTCACCCCCATCTAGAGAGAAATTTGGCTAGAGAAACCCTAAGGTTAGAAGATCCAAAACTCATTTAATCTATGAATTCAGGTATAAGCTTTCGTTCTTTTCTTTTGATTCTTGTAAATCTCTTTGAATTAATCATGGCTTTATGGTTTAGATCTCAAGTTTTTATAAGATCTAACAGAAACATGAAAATTTTGCATGAAATCCCAAACTTCCAGACGTTAATTAAAACATTTTCCAGGAATGACACAGAGTCGTTTCCGAAAGTTCTGACCCAAAATGCTTCCACGAGACATCACCAAAAGGGACCAGAAATTCAACAATAGGTTCAAGTGTCTACATACTATATTCATCTACGTAGTAACATCCCCCAAAAAAGAAAAAAGATAAGAAAAAAGACTGCAACGATCTGTATTTATTATTATCATAACTTTGTAGCATATATCTCATTTTAGCGCCTCCAATCAAACATATACAGAGGCTAGAGTTATGCTACTATTTTAGCGCCTTCCATCAAACATATACATATTATAAACAACCGGTGACTTCTTACCTAGTGCTACCACAACAATTTTATATAATATGATGCGTAGTACGTATCTAAAATATGTGTCTTATACGGGAATTGATTATTAAACAGTTCTGCAGATAGCTTTATGCGATTTGATGCACTACGGCCAGAACCAATACGAACGCTAGCTTTGTGCGTAACTGATGAAGTAAACTTGTATAAAGTTATTAGCTAAGAGTTCCCGTGTACTTTCTAAACTACAATATAGAGAATAGGATGTGAACTGCTCAAGTGCAAACAAAATCTCAATTAAGTTACTAGCAATAGATTTGGTTATAGGTCTACAAATAAAATTAGTGCCCAGACCAGCTGGCTACACAACACAGAGTCGATCTGCTGCTCAAGCCGCCTTCAGTTAAGCTACATACTTGGCCATCAGGATCTCACTTTCAGTTTGCCACTGAATCTACAAAGAAAAGCTTCAGCAAGAGATTGTGAAGAACAATTATCGACCAGTTCCTGCCTCAATCCACTTATTTGCTCTAGCATGATCATCCGCAACTCACACAATCCAGAACCCATAGGATGAATCAGTTAGCATGGCAGAACCTCCGGTGAAAGATTTCAAGAGATAGGCCATGGTAGTTCAAAGATATTTTGGCGCAAGCAAAGTTATTCTCCTACCGACAGCTACTAGTTTTACCCTAAATTTGAAAGTGGTCGTTGCATGTCAACTTTGAATCCCTATTAGACAGTCTCGTATGAGCTTTAAGGATAATGGTCCATCCATAGACCTTTGCTGTAGGTTCACCAAGCCAAACTCATAAACTCATGCCTACAGTAATATATCGTACAGTCATCAGCATCTATGCATGTCTTTTTGAGCAGTATCTCAAGTTTCAGTATAAAAGCCAACTCTCTCCTATAGGTTCCTTTTCTCATGTTCCCCATCTTTTGCGTGTGTGTCCAAACCATATTGCAACACATCCTAACCTGGGCCATGCACTGTAAACATAACTATCAAGCATGATATACAAGAACCTGAAAAATTAATGTAAGCTGGCTATAAAATAGTATTACGAAACAAATCACAAAAGAACTGTTGCAAATAATAGATGGCATAACTTCATCATCATCTTTTCAAAAGGCACAGATGGTAAATTGAGGTCATAGTCAGGGCGGAAAATTCCCTTACCTGTTAGAAGGAGAATAGTAGATCGCATTGATAACCTGATCAATTGATGACAAGTTGTCCTGCACGAGTTACTTATAATAGCAACTCCGATTTACAGCTTTTATTGTGCTTTAGATGACAACTGATCGATCTGCAAAGATGTATTATGTTATAACTTTCACTGCTGCCTGTTACCTAAGTTCTCAAAGCACTAAATTCACATCGTAGGTGCAAAGGTTAAGTAACAGAGATCATAAAGACTCTGGTTTTTAGATTAGTCCTCAATGCTTTGTTTCTCTCTAAAACACAAGGCTTTATAAAGCACTAATGAAACTGAAAAGAATAAACCAGTAGTAGCGCTGAAAGAACCTGGCTGGAGGGGAAAACAAAGGACAACTAAAAGTCCTGAAGCACTGACAGTGGCGGTACAATGAAAAACCAACTAGGGTTCTTATCCCCACAGCATGAAGGAAATTGGAAGAACTGCAGGAGAATCACTACAATCTGCAGTTTATACCTTGGTATAATGAACTTTGATATAATGAATGGACAGGTGCATCAAATATATACTCAGAATTGGTCCTGTCAATTTTTACAAAAGGAATTGACGAAAGCAATATAGAAGGTAGTTAAATAGTAGCCTCCAACGATCAAAGTTGCTAAGATGAAAATTTGAGGGCACCTCATGAAGTAAGATCTCAGCTAGTACCATAAAGAGGTTGCATGTAGTTTAGATAAGATAATAGCTGGCGATAATATGAAAAAGAACAAAGCAAGATGGACGAAATGGTCAAATGCTGTACTCGTACCTTCAGGACAAAAGTAAAAGAGTTTATGAACATATCTAAAAAAGAATATAACATTTAAAATGATCTTTAAAAAGTAAGCAATTTCTATGTTGGCGCAATACTACAAATATGAGCTCTTATTAATTATTTGCAGCAGTAAGCTTCAACCAAAACAAACTATTGGAGAAGGAAATACTATATATAACATCTTGGATAAAATGCTTTGGTGAAAGATGCTGCATTCACCAGACAATCAAATTACAATAAAGCAAAAACATCCTCAAAATCCCGGAGAGGCAAAATACTGCACTCTTCACGGAGTAATATTAGAAGAATGTAATTTATGAGACTGTAATGAAGATGGATTATTATTCCGACTGGAAAAAAGAAAAAGAAACCTCTAGCCAAAAAGGCCAGAACCTTTAGGTCTTGTTAAACCAGAAACGTGCATATTCCACGGAATGGCTAAAGAGATGTTGAATTTTTAATTGCCAATAAGAAAGCCTTTATATCCATAAATGTTCTCTCCGATATTCCCTCACGATGACCGGCACACTTGTAGGTGGGAGCTGCACAGTATAATCAATTTCAAAGTTACAGAAAGAAGCTTGTAAAAACAATTTAACTCAGTTTTAATTGAAAATAGCCAAACTTGAATTTAACTCAGTTTTAATTGTAAATAGCCAAAACTAAAGTCTTAGTTAAAACTTAAAACTAGTTCTACGAAAACCAATTTATGCTTATCGAGGCCAAGTATAGCTAGAGTAGCAATAATCTGGTTTAGTTTGACCCCAAGGGTAGAAAAAGCTCTGTTGGAAAGTATGGAGCTCAGGACAGAACCATACACCCATACAAAGAGTTAAGAGTTACTATCTAAACATACAATCCTAGTTACTCAAAGACTTCATGCGCAAACTTATAATTTATGACAAGCTTATATCAGTTTCAAGCTGCTCCTAATCGTATTAAAATTCCTTGGAAGTTTAACGCTTCACCCTTGTTGAACCGTAAAGAAAGAAAAGACTTCTCAACGATGAAGACTCTTCATTAACCGACATAATACCTAACAGTTAACTGTTGCAGTAAACCATAAAATGAAAACAGAGAAAACCCGGTAGCTTGCATCAACTTCTTTAACGTGGGATCAAAGTTCATGGACAACTGCTACACAAGACACAGAGGGGGAGCTACAGCTAGGAGTACGGTAACTGCGGTAGATAATGTTGATAATGATGTTTCTGCAGCTGAAACAATTGACTAATGAAGCTGAATTTATTTTAAAGTGTTCTCTTTTTTGCTATACATATGGATCGTAGAGATGTTTACTGTTGATCTATGGAATTTTATACTTTTTGTCATGGTAGGGTTATGGGGAAATATAAGGGCCAGATATTTTGCATTTTGTTTTGACATATACTGAAGCTATCTCTATGGAGCTGGGGAAATAGCTGTATTTTTTGTAAATAACCATTACGGGCAACTGTAGGCATGGCTATGTGGTTCTTTTTAACCCCTCATTCTTTTTTTTAAGGTGGAAGCAAAGTTAATGGCCAAATGGCACACATTAAACATAAACTTTTTGGTCATTCGGTTTAAGCTCATGCAACCAAGAGAAAGATTTTCAAATTTCCATATGTTTCATTCACAAAACTAAAGCTGAAGATAGTAGCTGCAAATTCATATCTAAAACCAACAGTAAATGCTAATAGAATAATAGATACATGAACTTCAACCAGATATAATTCACAATAAACAAGTTCAGAGTTTGAGAAATCAGTGATGTCTCACCATTCCATAATCTGTGACGATCATTGATACGTAGTCAGAAGGTGTTGCATCATAACTGTAAAACAACATATCAGAATAAGGTTTCAACATATCTCAGAAAATATATAATAGATAAATTATTTACAAGTTAGAGGAGATACGTTAGGTTCAAAAGTTGGAGATTCTCATCTTCAGCCCAATTATCCAGATGATTTAGATCTTGTCTTCCAGGAATCTTTGCTATCACATCTGGATCACCTATGGAATAAAATATATTGATCTTCACAAAAGCATCCACAACTAGTGGTGATTAAAAATGAAGAAAGCTGAAGATACATCCATAACAGCAGGTCTTAGACATACCAAGTTCATTAGAGCAAATAGAATCTAGTTGTACCCTCTCATGAAATTTATATGCCTCACAGCATATCAAAACCGGAACATGGAAGGCATGAGCGACCATAGCAACACATGCCGTTCCAACTCTTGAGTAAACTGTTCCATTAGATAAAACTGAAGAAGCCCCGAGAAACACTCGTGTAACTTCATGCATGATATAGGAGACAGCATTTATGTGAGTATAAGTACAGCTAAGCCCCTTTGCAACCAGCCTATGAAGCAATGCTTGTCCTTCAAGCTTTGGGCGTGAGTCAACTACCACAACACGGAACTGCTTTCCAAGCTCATGAGCATATAGCAATATCATTTCCACAACTGTGGATGATCCATAAGTAAGCAAGACATCACCATCTCTGATCTTTGTAACAGCATGCCTAACAATGACTTTGTCAGCAAGTATTATTTTCTCATTTATAAATCTATCAATATCTGATTGTAGACTTGATTTCTTTTCTGATTCTGACAAGCTGTCTGGTAGCTTTGCAATCCTATTCTTCAAAAACTTAATAGCATTTCCCATGCTAACTGAAAGGGGTCTGCATTCAGTAAAAAATGACACATAGCTATTGATTTTTGCAGTCAAATCTCGAATAAAAAGCTTTTTTGCTGGTGTAGAATAATCTTTTATTGCCTCTCTAAATGCCAGAAGCATTGCAATGCAACGAGCATTACCACCAGAAATATCCCCTGATAGGTATTGAAGCCCAACCTGGTAGAAATGGATAGTAACCACGTTAGGTTAGGCAAAAGAAACATTGTTCGATCAAGTGATATGCCAATTTACATTGGACCTAGGACGACCGTATTAATGTCATCTGCTCAAAATACAGTTAAAATGAATTCAACACTCATTAATCACCAATTTTCTGGCCAATTACACACAACTTGGTCTTGTTTTCAGTCTGAGTCCGTCCTCACTCTTTGTCTGAGCTTTTATCTAACCAAGCAATTTTGAAAATGTCCACACACAAACCAAACTATCAAATTGAGTTTTGGCTGGATGAAATCTCTAAAGTTGCAACACAATGTGCTTCAGAAGAAGCATTTCTATAGGACATCACAAACAAATATAATTAATGTACAATTTTTTAGCATGTCTTCTTTGGAGTGAATTGGCAATGGAGAGACCAAGTTGACTGCATTAATTAGCAACATAACAAGATGTGTCTAGCTTTCTCATATAAGTGAATTTAAACTAGTAGAATTAATTCAGAACAATGCCTTGCAGACAGCTACAAACTCTTAAAGCTTAAAATATGAACTTCCTCTTGCAAATATTTATATAATATTAAAAGGAATTAATTACTTCGAGAATATAAATGTGACTAAAATATCATGTACATTTCCTTGGTCTGTCCAATGACATCCAACTTGGACTTTTGTCAGTCGTAAGTCTATCCATACTTTTGGTTTGATTTTTTCCCCCTTCTGATTCTAATAATTCTAAAAATGTCAAATAAAACAAAACCCATCTATCAAAGTATGTTTTTAGCACGTTAAGTTTTCTTAATTTGCAAACCGCTTCGGTAGCATTATTTCTAAAGGATGTCACAAATAAATATAATCAAGTGACGTGATGTTTGTGCATGTTTTCTTTTAGTGGATTGACAAGGAAGAGACAAGGTTGACCGAGATAATATTAGCAAGTCTGAGATGACATCATGCATCTAGCTTTCACATATAGATCAACTAAATGAAAGCAAAAGAACTAAAAAGACAGAGTATGACATGGCAAAAATGGATGGGCATAAGAGAGGGGAAACTGAGTAAGACCGGATAAATACATGTTCAAGAGGATGATGCCTTCACTGAAGAGGAAATTTGGTAGAAGCAATTAAATCGCAAACATCACACACATTTTAATTTACACATTTTAATTTAAACACATCGCATTGAACAGATTCCCTCAAATGTATGCTCCTTAAAATCAGTATTGCCATAAATACTTTCTATCAGTCTACAGTCTATACATTACATAAAAGCAAACACCATGGAAAAAAAATATCTTCATGAACCTTGTATCAGCAAGGAATCAAGGCATTAATGTCATGCTGCATGCACAGCAAAAAGATGTAGCAATATGACATGCTATGTATGGTTTAAGTTTCAAGTATGGTTTCAGAACTGTCACAAGCAATCTAAGACAACTACTAATTTGAATACTACAAAGTATAAATTTGTGAGATGCAAATAATTATCTTGTTTTAATGGGACTATGGTGTGATGCACAGTATGCTGGCATACAACATAGTATACAGGGTTCTTAAAATGATTATTTGAAGCATAAAATGCATAAGAATTATATGGTGGAGAATAAAAAAACTCATTATTCTATATAGATGTTTATCAATTATCTGGTTTTAGAAACAACAATTTCTCGATCAATCTTTAGAAATAAACTAGCCTGCCCATGCCATGGTACTATTATTTAGGCTGTTTCCAAATAAGCATATAAAGTAGGCTAAATCTCAATGAAGTAACATTAACTTTGGGTTGTTTCAGCATATCACTCCTCAACTGTTTCAATGGCACTAATCACCCAATAATGGTATTTATTTAGAAGAATAAGTCATTAAGTTGTAAATAATCTCCCTCTCCCTCTCCCTCATGAACTGAGGGGGTGAAAAGTACGTTCATTCTTACTCAAGTCTACATACATGCTTCAATATTTCTATGCAAGAGCTGGAATTCTCTGTTTTCATCAATCATACTTTAACTGAAGCATCAAGAGGTTATAATATCAAGAGCTGCCTTTCATTGAGTAGACCAAATTCTTGCATGAAATTGAAATTTGAAAATTAGCACATTATGTTCTTGCATGTTGCTGCAGTAGAAAAAGCAGAAGAAAATAGTAACAGCCTTATACCTTATACACAGAAGGATGCATAGGCTCAAGCTGAAAAAACTTTGACTCCAGATCTGGAAGCTGTGTTCCATGAACATACTGAGGCAAATGTCTAAATAACTCAACTCTGTTTCTGGCTTCAAATTGATTGACAACTGCACGTCGCTTAGCTTTTTCAACCCTATGCTCGTCATCATATTGCATACGAGGTGGAGGAGCATCTTTCTTTCGATCTTTTTCAGAAGAGCGATCGCTGACCTTCTTTTCCGAAGTTGTAGAGGCAGCTGTAATCTTTGTTGCATCTTTCTTCTGTGGAGGTGGTTTCCCAGGCTTACCCTGCTTAGCGACCCCAGAAACAGTAGAATTCTTGCCACCTCCGCCTATAAATGCCACATTTGAGGAGTAAGCATAATGAGATACAATACATACTATACAAACCGCCAACAGTCAAAATTACTAATATTACAAGCTCAAGGACATATAGTGAACCATCAAGATAATCCATACCAAGAATCATAATCTACATTACTGTAAACTGTTTCCTAATCTTTAATTATACGGTGGAGACTTCCACACCCATGCATTGTGACGTTGTAAATGAGAATGTTTTCAAACCTAGATAAAAGAACACATGATTAAGGTAAGATGCCCTCACACGATTCCTAATCCGCATCTTTTCAAGTAGGTAGCTCAGAACTTGGATTATCTCTAGGATGGTTAACCACATATCATTGAGAAATGAGGGTAGCACTTTCATATACATACTCCTCACTTATAGGTATACATAGTTTAATGAAGCAAACATAAAAGTGTAGAATAAAAGGTGTGTGTAGTGGTGAGGTCCACCAGTTCTAACATGAATCGCATGAGTCTCCCCACTAGTCCATCTATTGTAGCTAATTTTACTAAATAAGCCCATACCCATATCTATACACATGCATGCACGTACAAGCACATAATATTATCCTATAGCTGAAACCCTGAATGAGATATATCCGTTGAGGGGCTGTTTCTTTTGCAGTAAACTGCAATTGCAACTACAGTTGCAATTTCCAAAAGGCGACTGTGATTGTAGTTGTAGCTGTTTTCTTCGATTTTCAGCCCTTTTGGAGTCGTGGTTACAAAAAATGAGCCGTCTTTGCAAAAAAACCTTGCAGTGCACTTGAAATTAATTTCACTGCAAGTTGTTTCTTGCAAAAAGTGGTTCCTTATGCAACTGCACATGCAGAAGGCCCCAATTGCAGTGAACCAGACAGCTTCAACAACAACTTTTTTTGTGAATTAGAATTGCAAATATCTTTACATTCTTTTCCCCTTCTAAACTGCCCCTAATAGCCAACATGGGAAAAAAAACTTGAAACATCAAGATATTATTGTCTAGTATTATGAAGCAAGAAAAAAAACATGAGCAGACAAAGAACATGTAAAAAGGGGGCACAAGCTATGTACATCTATGACTAGAAGAGTTACATATAGGGCATCATTGTTTACCAGATTCCTTTGCAGCAGCTTTTGCAGCACGTTGAGCTTCTTGAAGGGCACGCCTATCAGCTCTAGTTGACTTTTGTTTCAGAGGTTTTGAATTTTCAGCCCCTTCATTTTGTGCCTCTTCATTTTTTTCTGCAAGAAACACTCATTAAATTGACCTTTAAATAATAATAGTTTATGTAGAGATTTTGCAATAGTATAGATTAACCATAATTCTAGTTATCTTATAGGTCTGATTTAGAAGAAAGATAAAAGGAAGAAGAGCTATCCCTTTACCTATCCCTTCTTTAAGATAGACATTTTAGATAACTGAAATTTTAACTAAGAGATCAAACTAATGTATAAATGTCTGCCAAAAAAATGCTTTATTTCTAGATACTCCTAATAAAGGTACATAGACCTTATGTTAAAGAGAGTGCAAGTTCTGAAGAATCCATTAACTATCCACCATACTTTGACGAGAATTTCAGATAAAATCAAGTCACTTCCAAATATCTCCAATTAGACACATTTCACATCTGCATAAGATGTTAGTTTTTTGGGAAAATTACTTCCAGCCCCCAAAACCGCTTATAATATGCTCTGTTTACCCCCAAAACCGCCCCCGATTTTCTTCCAGCCCCCAAAACCAATCCCCAGGCGTAACGCCGTTTAAACCCCGCTCGAAATGCCCAAAATACTCTTACGTTTAAAATTCCCCGTTATGAGTTACCTCCTCGTCCGTACCCTGTCATCTCTCTCTTCTACAAGCAAACCGACCCCAGAAACCCAATTCAAAACCCTAGCCCTAAATCAACCGACCTCAACGCAAACCGAATCAAAGCAAAGGGATCAAAATGGCGGGCGATTCAACCCCCAAAGCCAACCTCAATGCCGACCACAACGAAAGCGATGACGCCCAGCGGTGCGAAATCTCAGATAGTGCAGTGCGGAATGAATCTGAAGCTCGAGCTGCGATTGGCGATGTTCTAGAGGACATCGCAACCAGCCATTCTCATCCAAGAAGCCCGGCTCAAAATTTAAGTGTAGGCCCCCGCGAAGGTCTAGAGGGCAGCACCGGCACCACCGACGCGTCCAATGATGCCACTAGAGCGCTCCTTGGTCTATAGAGAGGAGAAAAAGAGCAGCACGTGGCAGCACCCAAAAGGTAATTTTTACCGCAAGTTTTATGTTGTTAAGGTTATGGTTTGATTGATAATGCTCTTAGTCTGGTGGGAAGGTCCAAAATTACGGTGTCTGTTAGCTGTTGAGGTTACTGTTAACATGCAAGGTCTATGTTTTTATTGTTGAGGTTGTGTTTGGTTGTTGAGGTTAGGCTTTGGTTGTTAAGGTTAGGTTTTGGTTGACAAGGTTGTGGGGTTGTTAAGTTTGTTGGTTGATAAGGTTATGCCTTTATTGTTGAGGTTGTTGTTTAGTTGTTGAGGTTAGGCTTTGGTTGTTAAGATTAGGTTTTTGTTGTTAAGGTTATGGGGTTGTTGTTAAGGTTGTTGGTTTACCCGCAAAGTTTACATCATAGTTGTTATGTTTACTGATTATACTCAAAAATGCTCTCGTCTTGTGTTTTTGTTTTGTAGAAAAAGAGCAAGGCCAGCTATTACGTTGCGGCCCACCGCCAGCTTCGGTGCCTATCACGACTTCATGCAGAAGTTGGTGACGTGTATAGGGCCAAGGCATTTTGCGGCCTACGAAGATAGTGTTTTCAGACACTACGTCCAATTTGGCCCACCTGGCGTCGATCTTCCCACCTTTGAGCACATTTTGAGTCAGTGGGACAAGAAGAGCAAAAAATTCGTCTTCACCGATAGGAATGATGGAGAAGAGATCCCATGCTCATTCAACCTTGAGTGGGTAATGGAGCATACATGGTTCTCCAATGAGGGGCTTCATGTTGACCACAATCGGGACAGAAAAAATAGGATTTGGTCCAGGTTCTTTAACAAACCCGAGGCGGGGGGTTCCAGCAGTATAGCTCCCCCCAAAGGAGGCCCCACCAGACGCAATATGGAGGAATTGTTGTTAAAGCTGGTACTATCTTCTGATCGCCGAGATGTGAAGGACTTTGTCCTGCTACAGATCCTTTATCAGCTAAGCATGATTTGGTGTCCAAGCAGTGTTTCCGGCGTTCCTAGGAATTTATTCAAGTACGTCGACAGCATCGAACAGGTCAACAACACTGCTTGGGGGACCTATATATTCAGTGAGACATCTGACGCGATAGAGAGGGCACTGAAGGGTCCTGAGCCACGTAAGACGACATTATATCTGCAAGGGTGTACCCCTCTAATTTGTGTAAGTAATCATGTTTTTTACTGATTGTGAAGGTTAGGGTTTAGTTGTTAATGTTACAGTTTCGTTGTCAAGGTTACGGTTTGGTTGTTAATATTACGGTTTGGTTGTTAAGGTTACGTTTTTATTGTTAGGGTTACTTATTAATTGTTACGGATGAAGGTGTTTGTTAAGTTTTTATATCTCTAATGTGCAGTTGTGGTATTATGAACTCACCGGCATCAAGAAGCCAGCACTTGGTTGTACGGTGAGGCCTCCCCTGACAAATTGGGTGAGACTTGGGCACGTTGCTGGTTCTTTGAGATTGGCCATTGTTGTTGCAAAAGCAAGCAAAACTACGATAAAGCTTCCACAACAACATGGACAACTTCAAAGAATCGAGGGAGGTTTTTGGGGGAAGGAGCAGGGGATAGAGAAAGAGAAGAGGAGAGAGAGAGAGAAGAGGAGGATTAAGGGTCCGGCTGCAGTAGACGCCGGCAGGGCTCGTGGTCCAAGAGACCTTCACAAGAAGAAGAGGAGAGCAGAAGATGACGACATCCCAATTGATGCACTTGTAAGAACTTAGCAATCGTTGATTTCATTTGTTTTTGAATTAATTAATCCTTTTAATAGTACTCTACCTGTCCGTTGCATATGTGATGCCACAGGATATTGATGAAGACGCCAAGCAGCCAAATGATGCAGTTGAGCAAATGGATTGGCCTCAGCAAGTTATTTACTGGAAGAGCATCGCGACAATGAACGAAGCATTACGCCGTGAGAACGAGAATAAATTCAAGGATATGATTGCTGCAGACCGTGTAAAGATAAGTGCTCTTTCTGTGAAGGTGGCTAAGCTGTCTGCTCAAAACAGAAGACTGAGAGAGGAACTAAGCGAAGCACGATCCGGAACCCTCTCTGTATACAAGGATAAGAGCCCTACAGGATTGCTGTCCAGCCTATTGATGGAGCCGCAAACTTGTACAGGTTAGATGTGGCTTGCAATTACGTTTGCGTGTTATGTTTAAAAATTGATTGATAAGTATATGGATTTATTGTTAAGGTTAAGAATATATTGTTAACTTTACAGATCTAATGTTAAGGTTAGGGATTTATTGTTAAGGTTAAGAATGTATTGTTAACTTTACGTATCTAATGTTAAGGTCAGGGATTTATTGCCAAGGTTGGAGATTGATTGTTAAGTATCTTGGTTAGTTTTAAGGTTATGTAACTGATGCTATGTTTTTTTTGACAATGAAGTACCTAAGCTCATTTGTGTTTATTTTTTGAATCAGACACTCCAGGCATCGTGGGTGATATTGATGTACAGTACGAGGGGATGTTAATAAATCATTATTATTTGATGAAGCTAATAAGGAGAGCGAGGCCCCTCCAACAGGGAGGGCCTCTCCACAACCATTGTTTTCTGATATCCACAAGGAGAGTGAAGATGCTCCGTCAGGAGAATTACCTCCACCAGAGGCATCTGCTGTTGACAAGGCCCTTGAGGCAGAAATAAACGAGGGAGAGAAGGTGTCCCCGCCAGCGAAGGAGCTACTAACTTGTACAGGTTAGCTTGCTTTTGTACTATATATTAGAGATTGGTTGTTATGTCTACGTATTGGTTGTTAAGCTTTTTATTGTTTATACTCTGAATATTATCAGAAACAGGCACTCAACGCGAGGGCACTGGAAGGGAAATAACGTCGGCGGTTGAAGTCCCTTCTGCAGGTGATGGGGAGACACAAACTTGTATAGGTTAGCAATTTTTTCACCATGTGTTTAGGCATCAGTTGTTAGGTTTACTATGAAATTGTTAAGTTTAGATAGAAGGGGCTATGTTTTCTTAATATTTATACTTCAAATGGGTTGTTTGGAATCAGACACTCTGCGGGAGGACACTGGGATGGAAATAAAGCAATCAGAGAATGCCCCTCCACCAGCAGTAGAGACATCAACTGATGACGAAGATGCTCCTATTGTGTTTTCAATGGCTTTGAATAAGAGAAAGAGGGGTGCAACGGGGGCACGCGGGAAGGTGGCCGCTGCTGCACCCCCTAAACGGAAGAGATGCAAAAGATCGGTGAAGCCTTCCAAGTGGGTAGTCACCCCTTACACTGAAGGGAAGAAGAAGAAAGAAAAAGATAACATAGGGGACAAGGCTATAATAGAAGTGGGTGGGGAGGAGGAAGCGCAGGTGCAGGAAAACAATGCAGAGTTGGCTCCTGCTCGGGTACAAAGTGACCCCCACTCTATCTGGGAAAAACACATGAGTTCCCCTATGAGTTCAGCAGAAGAAATGTACAGAGATAAGCTGAACAAGGGGATTCCCTTTCCAGATGGCTTCATCATCAAGTTTGTGAGCGACAAGGACACATTTGTGCATAACTATAAGGTGTCAGCAGATGTTGCCGCGCTACTGACGGAAGAGGAGCAAAAAGCTCTTAACCATTTTTGCATTTGTAGATGTAACAAGTAAGTATTTACCTCACATCTCAAGTATTAACGTTTGTTGTTTAGTTTGCGGGTTTGTTGTTATGGTTTTGGGTTTTTTTGTTATATGGTTATTGATTTGTTGTTTAGGTTAAGGGTTTTTTTGTTATAGTTATTGATTTGTTGTTAAGGTTACGTGGTAGTTGTTAAGGATACGTGTTTGATGTTAAGGTTACGTGTTTGTTGTTATGGTTACGGGTTTTTTGTTATGGTTATTGATTTGTTGTTTAGGTTAAGGGTTTTTCGTTATAGCTATTGAATTGTTGTTAAGGTTGCGTGATAGTTGTAAAGGATACGGGTTTGATGTTAAGGTTACTGGTTTTCTTGTTATGGTTATGGGTTTTTTTGTTATGGTTATTGATGATTTGTTTATG